AAAGAGACCGTCCCCAGCAAACTTTCCAGTTTGTAGTGAGCGTGATGTTTATGGTATGGAATGCTTCTGTTGGCCAGCCTGGGTCAGCTGCCCTGGCTTTCCCTCCTCCCCTTGATCACTATGGAGACCTGCATACCATGGCTGGCCATGAACTAAATCAGTGTCTTACCAACTTTGTTCTCACCAAATGGGGTGCTGCAGGCTTCTCAAAAATACAGCTTTCCTGAATAGAAAATGGATTCTTTGATTGTACCCCAGTGAAAGCAGGACAGTGAAGAAAGCGGATACTCCCTGCTTTTTAGTAAGTGGATGTGTAGCTCTTAATGTAGCAGCTAAACTATACCAAAGCAAAGCAAAACCTTGCTTTTCAGAGAAAAGCTGTTGCCTGGTCTTCAGATTACAGGTTCACAAAGGATGAGGTTATATCTATTGGAATTTAGAACAGTAAAATCTGGAGGCTGTTATGTGTTGAATGATCCAAGCGATAGTCTTGAATGTTGACTGCTGCGTTTGTTCAAAACTGTACATAAAACTATAATTAACTGGTTTTCTGGATTAAAAAAAGATAGCTTTGCAGGCTTATGTCAGTCAAGCTTGTCTTTGAAAATGTAATAGGCTACTAGTATGAGAGGGAAATGTTCAAAAAGGATCAGTTCTGAAAAGAATGGCTTCTCTTCGTGAATATTTGAGTCAGATGCATTCAGTTTGAAAGGAGTCGCTGAAAACAGTTTGTGTTAGTGGTAGCCAGGCATAATTCCAATGCCATAGTTATTGTTCAGTTCAAAAGCAGACAGATAATTCTCACATTAATGAGTGTGAGTTGCAGGTGATGCTGGGGCTCTTGGTGTCACTAACAGTGTCAGGAGACAGCTAACAGAGAGCCTGGCTGTCACAAGAGAGACGGAGGCTGAGCAGCTCTGGAGCTATGTTAAGCTCTGCTACAAGGCTCCTAATACTGAAAAATTAACTTGAACAATGTGTTTATAGTTGAAACATTTCAAGTGCGGAAGTGACTTTTTGATGAGGATGATAATACTGTTACTAGTAATAGCAATAAACATTGAATATCAATGCAGCGTAGCAGAACAGATTTGAGTCTTTCCTGTTAGACCTGATCTAATTTCAGGGTTCTCTATCTTGGGTACATATCTCTTCTCCAGTGGGGCTGAATGCCTGCACAGGGAGAGTAGGAAAGGGAACAGCATTAGTAGTAATGCTCCTGTACGTGGTATTCTGATTTTCAGAGCAGTGTACCTTCTGCTGCCCAAAGGTACTTACGCGTGGAAGCAGCGGGTAAGTGTATTCTTCCTGTAACGTGCTGGACTGGGAAGTCAGGGCACTGCACACAGAATGCTGATGGAATGTTCCCTAGTTCTGGCACCCCAGCAGGAACAAGGTGTGCCCAGCACAATGCTGACAGAAAACAGCAATTTTCAGCAACTCTGTTACTTTCTCAGGCTTGAGTGGGTGCTGGTAGACCAGTTAAAGGTTACCCCCATGCTGGAGGTATGGGGAAGGTGTTCAATAAATATGTCAAATGAAGCTGTGGATATGCTGTTTCCCTTTATTGCCCAGTAGGCTGATACCACTGTGGTGGTACAAGATACTGAGTATTTCACTATTAATGAGAATTTTGTGTTTTGTTTACACATGTTCTGTTAGCTGCAGGTATGATATATTCTGCTTGCAAAGTTGTTTTGGCAAAATTCTTGAATGGTTCCAGTATCAGCATATAAAATTGGCCTATGTCACAGTTACTGGCCTATGTCACAGAAATTTATCTAGGTTTTTTGATGCTTAAATATTTTTTGCCATCCCTGCTTATTTTGCTCAGAACATACGTGGACTAGATTGTTATCTAGATTGTTCTAGGTAAAAGGAATATTGACCAGATAAGGAGTCCTCACATATCATTTAATCTTTTAGAAACCTCACCTTGAAGCAGATCATTACAAACCAGATTGCTCTGACACATTCTGCAGCTTCATCTGCATCAGAGCAAGGTGATTGTGAAGTCCTTGAAAATTGTGAACTGACCACTTTCATTAATTTCCATAATTGCTTTTTTCTTTTAGAGAAGGAAGGTTTATCTGTCTATGAAGGACTTTCCTTATTATGCAAGGTAGATCATAGCTCTTGTCACAAGGAGCAATAGCTGCTAGAATCCTCACCCTGTTACTTGATCATTTTTTTTCTCTTTCATATCTTGTTACAGCATTACTGTGGCTTTTGTAATCTTTCATTTTGTAAGTGAAAAAAGTTTATCTTTGTAACGTGGTGGGATTTTTGGTTTTTTATTACGCTTGTGTTAATTCCTAAGGACTTAATTCATGTTTGATGCCATTCTTAACTTCTGTGTCATGGAACTTGTAGCATGTATTCGTTACCACACGTTTATGCACATCTCACACAAAAAGCTGTCATGGAAAACCTTTTTGCTCTTGTATACAGCACATTTCACTTGAAAGAATTACTGCTGTAGAAACTCGTTCAAATATGTGAACACTTCTCTTGAACAAAATGCACAACAGTAGAATTTGCACTAACTGCAGTACGTGGCTATCTTGAGGGTCCAGGTCTTGCTGAGGGACCTAGTTGTATGAGGACTAATACAAACTGTTATTTACAAGTGGGAGAGAAGAAAAGAGTAGTAATAGTAGTCTTTGTAGCTAACAAGGTTTATAGAGAGAAGGGAGTGGAATGGAATCATGAAGCAGAAGGAAAATCAAGTGACTTTTAGGACAAGGGCTGTCTTATTTTGTTATGGGCTTGGACAGTAAAAAGCCCCTTGAAGCTGGGATTAATCAGTTATACCACAATGTTAGGTAGACTATTCTTGCTTTAAAATGTAGCTGTACTGGTTTGTCTGTACACTAGTGTCTAGAAAACCGTGTGATAACCTTTTTTAAAGCTGAAGGGTGAGAGG